ATAGTTTCCCATCTGGGAAGGAAGTGGCACTGTGGCCTGGGGGAGGCGCCAGCAAGGTGGGTGTAGCAGAATTCCCGGAATGAGGACAAGGAGTACCATGGCCCCTGAGATCTAAGCACGAGAGGCTACGGGCCAAGGCCCCAGAAGAGGCTTTGTGGCTGCTTGGGGACAGGGGCTGGCTCAGGCAGCCGTAGTGGGCTTCCCTGGCCTACTTTTTCCTGCTTTTCTTTGCTTCCTCTTTCCTTCTAAGTCAGTACTTCTGGGAAATCACTGCTGGCCTGGACTCCACAGGGCGAGGACCCCGGGCAGGTCACATCCTACCCTCTGCTTGAGCCCAGACTCTCTTCTGGGGCTGACTCACAGGGACACAGTCACTCCACACTGTGCTACCTTCTCAGATCTATGAAAATCCAGCCCGCGCACAGGGCAGAGGACTTCCCTGTGCAGAGACAGCTGGGGTGGGCCTCCCCCATGTGGAGGTGGTGCTGTGTGAGGGACTCGGGCTGCTGACCTCGCCGGGCTGCTCACCTGGCCCTGTGGTGCGGAGTTGGCCGGGCCCACTGGTGCTGACCTTGGGCAACTTCCTGGACCTCTCTTGGTTTCCTTCTCTGTCAACACTGGGAGATTAGTAGTAATGCATTTTGAAAGATTCCCATCTGATAGGCTGCTGTGCAGATTTCTTGAAGATAATGAACATGAAGGTCAGAGTCAGGCAGCAGACAGTCTCATTACCGCTTTTTCCTGGCAGCCTCTGCCCAGGGCGCTGAGGCATCACGACCGTAAAGCTAAACACTTGTGATGAACGAGCACACGCTGAACGCCCGCCGTGTGCTGGCTGTGTGCTGGCTGTGTGCTAGGCGTGCCAGGCACAGGGGTGGGTGGGCGCTGACACCCCAAATCCCTGAAGCTGCTGTTCTGGGACTGTCTGCCCAGCTCTGTGCCAGGTGCTGACGTGGGGCACCTCCCTTGACCTTGTCAGCAATTCCATGGAGAAGGTTTATTATCAGATTATATTCCCCCTTTTAAAAACTGAGGCAAGGTTCACATAACATGAAATTCACTGCTTCGACCATTTTACAGTGTACAATTCAGTGGCATTCAGTACATCCACAAGATTGTACATAACTGTCATCTCCATCCAATTCCAGAACACTTTCATCACCCCACAAGGAAACCCTGTCCCCATCAGTGGCCAGCCCTCCAGCCCCTCCCCCATCCCTAAATAGCCACCCATCTGCCGTCAGTCTCTATAGATGGGCTGTTCTGGACGATTCATATAAGTGGGGCCAGATATGTGGCCTTTTGCATCTGTTTCTGTCCCTTAGCATGATGTTTTCAGGGGTTATATTTGGGCTTTTCATGGCCAAATAATGCCCTGTTGTTTGACCACACATTTTGTTGATCCATTCATTTACTGGTGGGCATCCGGGTTGTTGCCACTTTTTTGAACCCCATTTTAAAGACAAGGAAACTGAGGCTGAACTGGCTACTCACCCAAGGTCAGCACCTGCCCTATGACCCAGGAATTCCACTTCTTAGCCAAGAGAAATGGGAACACACGTCCACACAAGGACCTGCAGGCCAACACTTAGAGCAGCAGACTCATAGCCCCAAATGGAAAACCATCCAACTATCCACCCACAGGAGACAGGCATCATCCTGGGGTGCAATGCCACCCGTCAGCAGGGACCAGAAGGCCTGGCCCCAGCCTCCGTCCTGGCAGGGTCTACACAGCTGGGCCAAGTCAGCCTGGCAGAACCTCCAAAGCCAAACGGAGGCCACATCCTGGTTATCAGTTGCTCCCTGTAGTTCTGCACCCACCGCCATCCCCGCCGCCCACACACTCTTTCTCTGCTTTACAGAAACTGAGGCTCAGAGAGGTAACATCTTGTCCTGGGCCTTGCAGTGGGCAGCGGCAGTCCTAGGAC